TCAAGAGGATAGATTATCGGGACGTTTAAATCCTAGGGCAATTAAGCAGGCAAGCTTATAGGACAACCTAATGTACGAGCCGGCTCACTAAACAACGGTGGCACTATCTGCAGTTTTGAATGACAGAACATAAGTCTATGTAGCTCCATGTCGTTCTTTGGTAGAGAAATTTACAGAAGCAGGAGTACATATGGAAAACTATGTTTCATTATGCTGAGAAGAGGACCATTATATCGTCATACAAATTATTATATATTATAGCTCTTTTCAAAGCTGTAGTCTTTAAGATACCGGAATGTTGCATTGTGAGACGCGGACATTGTTTCTTTTTATAAACGCCCAAAGACCTCGCGGTAAAATAAATGTTCTTTAAAGGAAGAACATGAAAAGGAAAGGTTCGTGCATAAAGCTTTTGATAGTTTCTTATTTGACTGTAATCATCCACAGTCTTTTCAAACTCAATAACTGTTAAAATACAAAAGCTTATTTGGTTCCAGAATATGTTGAACCTGTCAGTCTGGTTCAAAAAGTCATTTTCACACAACCCGCCCTCGTACTCTTTTTACTGATCAGTGACATGAATACCTAAATGGTTGCAAAAAAATAGAGCTCGACCTTGCGTCCCATTTAACTACTTGGGTGTCCCTCTAAGCCCACCATGAACGTTTTGCTAATGGTCACTTAAATATCCATGTTCCGTTCTCCCCAGTTAATTTGATATTTATTCCAAAGGCTCGGTTAGCAGACATTTGTCGATCAAATGTCCATGAAAATTCAGATTTTACTGTTCGGCTCTTGCTTCAAAGATTCATAAATCGTTTTCTTGTAGAAATACAGCAGATAACATTTTGGTTAAAATTCACTTCCGCTGGTTGACGTAAACTTTCTTTGCAAGTTCAGCAATTTTCCCCTAAGCGCATCAGACTTGAAGATGTCTTATTTCTTGAAACTCTACATGAGAAAATCCAGTTATATTTGCCTTCATTGGACACTTCCGTAGTCTAAGCTTGTCTTTTACAAAACTCGAGAGCAATTCAACCTACCGAATATCAAAAAAACGAAATTTATTTACCAAAGCAACAAAAAGTCCTTCCCGACTTACCACTCACACAGCTGAACATGATATCTTGCCATGCCTCTCCTGTAGCAGAGCGGAAAAGTACAAGAACAGCCTGTGGAAATGTTTGAAAATTAGTATTCACGGTAATTGCACTATCGGGGTTGTTCAGTGCAATCTTTCCAAACATCTGCATCCCGATGACGGCATAGATGAAGAAGAGCATCAGTATCAGTAGTGCAACGTAGGGCAGCGCCTAAAACGACCACAGAGTACTACTAAGTACAGAGGTCCAGAATTGTTATATACCAAACAGTTTATATCAGCCCTTCATCCCCGTGGCTCACTCTTCTGGCGTGGTAGTAACAAACAAAAATTGAAGCATCTGGAACACTATAGGTAGCAGACTGTTTTTTAGATGTTTGAAATGCTTCTTTGTAGTTTTTCGCATGTAACAACTGAGTATTATTGTCCGCCTAATGGTGATCAGGGGACCTGATAATGTCATCCAGTCTCACTAAATCGTACAATCCTTCCCTCTATTGGCAGTATTCATTTCATGCCGTCTTACCTTTACGTGACCGGTTGAAAACTTATAGTCGTTTTGAGTTATCTACTTTGTGAGAAGACGGCATACCATTTGAGGAGGATGAGCCCTTTCCATATAATGAAGTCGTCCACACATCGCAGACAAAAACCATAAATGCAAACCTAGTGGTGTAGCAGAAAACCTATAAAATTACGCGAGTTCGTTTTCATCAAAAGTATTTTCCTATTTATTTAAGGAGCCACCCGCTTTTCTTTTACGTTCTCAGTGTACGGCGCAAAAGAAGCATTTTCATTATCTATATGGCCGCCTCACCGTCTACGTGATCGTACTACAGAGAAAACAACCAGGTTTATTTGGAAAAGCCTTTATAAAAGACGTCAAGATAATTTTAAGTACCCAAATGGATCTTGATCGATCCAAGCGCGCCACCTTATTATAGCGAGGAGCTATGTTGATTTGCTGTGGGCATAACTGTTTCTTCCATCTCCTATGCACCAGTCGGCTGTCCTAGTTTATCAACCATCTGACGTTGAGATTGGACTCAGTAGCCAAGTCGGCATGAAAATCAACCTCTAGGCGTACCAACACACCCTACTGTGTCGCGGGAACCTTTTACAGCCCAGTTAATGTGCTCTGTTGGCCAATCTGTTTCTTTTTGATCCAGGACACCTAAAACGTAGCCCGCTTTGGGGGCTGATGGGCCAGTCACTCACAAACGGTGGACTCTCCGTCGCATAAGAGTGGTGTACGCTGAATATCCTGACTTCAGGACCAAACTGGGCATTTTCAATTTGTCCTAGATCTGTGACGCCACATGCCACGCAGGCAATCACGCAGAGAGTAACTGTCAGCGAAGGAGAGGTTCTACCGATCAGAATGTGCCATCTTTAACGTAAATAAAAGTCTTTTGCTTACCTGAAACGACTTTACGAAGGTCCACAGGAGTGTCCGAATTCCTTCTCCTCGGCTGAGCAGTTTTACCAATCTCATCACACGGAAAAGACGAAAAAAATTGATACTGATGAATTTTGAGTCCTCCTATATAGCCATATAAAGAAAGAGTACACTGTTATGCGAAATCCTCAAGGCTGATTTTCTAAGGCGAAAACATTGCCTACAGTTTCAGGGCTACTTTTTTAGGGCAGCATAACCTTCGTGCACCCAGTTGCTTCACTCGATAAACTTAACTTCCTGAAGGAAGGTGAAACGATCGGTCGTTGACGGTCTTATACTACTCAAAAAATCAGTGATAATGTTTGCAAATGCGCCTGTAGGCTATGATGTCAAGACATTATGACCGATTTGCCTAGACAGGGAATTATAACAATTATATCCAACACAGAGATAAAGTACGTTGGCTGTTCTGAAGTGCTCACGGATTAAGCTGGCAGCGATGAAACCGTAGAGAGAATTCGAGAGTTGTCCTAAGGGAAAACGTGCACTATGCTTTATGAACTCTAAACAATACGACTCAACTGTGGTTCGCAAGCAATGATATTTCGATTGACTATGGGATATAGCAAATGCGCATTTCGAAATAAGCAATATTCTACTGCATATTACATTCGCTACACTGCTAAGGCAAAGGAATTTGCCGGTATGCATTCTTCATAAATGCCTACATGGCACCGGGCAACCAACTAAAATTCTAATTGCCGAATAATTTGGAGCCTGATCATTCGTTGCATTAGCGCTTAGTGATTTCACTCTACAAGGTGCGTGCGTTCCGCATAAAGAAAATCACATATTTTTCCATGCCATTAAAGGGATATCATACAGAGTCCATAACATTTTGCAATGGATGCGGACCATGTTGTACATTTCATGTGGAGCAGTGGTAAACGGCCAGGTACGATGTTATGTGAATGGACATTTCGCAGTCTTAAAAAGTCGCATAATTGGAAACTTTTTAAAACCTTATTATAATCCTTTCTTAAGTATAAAATATAAAGAAGACGTGATTCTCTATTGATTGACTAAAAGAAAGCATAGTTTTTTATGGTTTCCATAAAATATATTTGAATTTCCAAGACCATCGAAAATCAATGGGACAAATGCATACTACTTATGCGGTCATTTTTTACATAGCACGCTTTCTACAGGAGGTTGAAAAGAAGTGCATTTAAAAGCCGACATCCTGCCGAGTCCGATATATTATAAGAGTATGCCTTGGGATAATCAGTATTACAACCGCGACCAAGTAATCCTTCTTAATCGAAAACGAATTTCAGAATTTCATCCAACATTTCATGAGATCGGTCACTCACTGTATAGCTTCATTTGAGCTCCATAACTTTGAAGTTTCAGGTTGAAAACCAAAACATAGGTTACCAAGTGTATTTATAGCTTATAGTTGTAGACATGTAAATCGGAATTCCGTTGTTAATTTGCTTTGAACTGTGCCTAACTACGTCGTTGAAATGCATGCTTCGGAGGACTAAGAGAAAGAAAAATGCCTTATTTTGGCAATATCGTTTCAAACTTTTTAGCAGGAACTGCTATACTCCTGTGGCCAAAAGATAAATTAATACGGCATGATAAAGTTGATGTATTTGGACAAAATCTGCACAACTACTATGGGGATATTTTGAGCCTTTTTTGCATTTCGGTATCTTTACACGTTAGATATTGTATCAGAAATGATAATATTAAGATCTAATATGACGATGCAAGTCAAAAATACACCATAGGCCACTGCGTTTGGGCTGAAAGCCCTAGCAGTCATTAATTCAGGGTGAAGGAAACGGACAATATTATACAGACATAGGTCAGGCTTATCTTATGCAAAAAACATGAGATGACTCCATTTCTGTTTTGAGTGTTCTTCTTTACTAGATGCACAATTTCGCAAATTTTGTCTGTGCTGCTGCAAGACAGAGAGCTAGCTTGTAATCAAAATGGAGTATTTTAACATCATCTACGACTTATTCCTCCTAATTCAGTAGATATGCAGGAATGGAGAACTGACATCAAAGGGAGTCGAATCACATATCACATGGTACCGATAACAAAAGAACAGGCTTGAAAATGCATGCAATCTGACGCTTAGAATAATTGTTACTTTTGTCATTCTTTTGCCAAGTTAGGTCTTTGGTTAAAACGACAACCCTTGGGAGGCTTTCTATTTTATTGGGCTATTTATATTACATTGTCATTGGAAAGCTAGTACCATAAATTTTCGAAATGACAGTGGATCACAACTCGCATGACTGGTTTTCTCAGAAAAATAAGGGTCATTCATGAGGAAATTTGGGCAAAACGATTTTTCCAGACATAAACATGCTTGAGTGCTCCATTCTGAAGTCGTTTACCTCAAAAAGTTTTCTCATTGCATTAAATAACAAGAAGGTTATTTGTATTTAGAGTGATTAGCATCGTTATTGTTGGTTAAAATGGTAGAGAATCTCCACTATTTTGTTTTTTATTTCTGGACCACGTAAACGGAATGTTGAGAAAGGTTTAACCTGCAAATATTTACACTTAGCAACGCTTGAACTAGTTATAAGGTTATCCGCATCTTTTGATAAAGGCAAGCGTTTCGCCTATTTAATTGAAGTAGCTAATGTTTATTTGGTCAACAGGAACAAAGATTCAGCCTACCTTGCGTCTCGAATGGATTCAGAGTGTTTAAGTGTTGCAAAGGTATGTTTAGACACTGAATACATAAACTTTTTAAATTTCGAGAAGCCCGACATGTTTAGCTACCGCCTTCTCGCTTCATTCCCGTCTCACTCACTTTGAAAAGTTTTGGCTTATTATCTTACGCAGTGCACGTAGTTGCTAGAATGGGTAAATAGACCCTTTAAGGACTCTTTGGAGGAGAAATTTCAACTTTCTTGAAGTAGTAGGAGACAGTAGGGATGCAGCGTATCCCCAGTGACTACCAACGGTGAAAAAGTGAAACTAACCACCCGCCAGATTTGTTGAGGGTTGCGATGAATACATCCCATTTATTGTCACATAGAATCTACTGTGGAGACAAGTGACTTGTAAGGACGTGCTGAGGTTGATAAGCGTTCCGTCCTGCAAAAATCGGGGCAGTGCTCATTGTCTATAAAATCGACGCAGAAAAGGCAGACTTTCTTCGGAAACTTGGTTGTCGATAGTATCCGCCCGCAGACAGTCGCTTAGCTATATATTTTATTTCCGATATTAATAGTGCAGCTGACAGAAAATAACAAATGAGGAAGCTAGTTTTTACGCAGGTCAAGGATTTTTTTGTTAACATCCTATTAATTTGCGTGGTTTTTGTCAGCTGTTGAATAGACACAACAAAAATTTGGCTATCGGCATCATCAACTACCTGGAGTGTGATACATTTTTGAAATCTGCCTTTTGCGTTCGTTTCTGTACTTGGCAGACGAAAAGAGGTGGACAATCAACACTTTCAAAGAAAATAGACTGTTTACGAAAGTTTCACGATTTTCAGAGCAGTAATGACTTACGGCAATGTGTGACAGCACAATGTCGACAAAACTCCCAACGACGATAATGAAGTCGAATACGTTCCAAGGATCGCTAAAGTAGTTCTGTACAGGAAGTGGAATAAATGCAAATAAGGGAGTCCTTCGAAAAAGTTAGTTTCATTTGGCTCCAGAGGAATAACAAAAATTATCAGGTTGATAATACAAAATTTCGTTGACACGATAAGGTCCCTACTAACGAGTATCTGTGGGTTCATAATGATATGTAAAACCGTGTGAATTATTCTTCCTAAAATTTTATTTGTAACTATAGTAAATGCAATTTTGGCTCGCTAAAAGCTAGAGAATGTAGATATGTGGTTCCTAGTTGCTGAAAGTTCTCACTGCTGCCTAATTTCCTGAAGCCTTATGGGTTTCGTATATTCACCTTCTGACACTAATGCCCAAACGACTCTGCATTGTTCATTGTTGAAAACCTCAAGTCACTAAATATTTATACAAATTTATTCTGTATAGCATCGCCGAGTAGGCCTTTATTATGTGCTTAAGAGGAATGAATGATACTGTTAAGATCGCGCTAGATAACTGGTTTTTATTAAGGAGCAAGGCAAAAGGCCCTGTTTATTCTGGACAAAGGTTCTCCTATCTGGAAAGGCTCGTTTGATTTTACGCAACCTGGGAAATGTTTGGCAAACAACTGCAAAGTTGCGCAAAACAAATAGAGTAGACTCAAGAACACGCCGAAAAATAAACCAAAAGCAGTGTTCACGGTGATGGAATACGGTTATTTTATGGCAATCATAAATAAACTGATGCTCTAAAGAGTACCTTGCTCGAACTAGCCGCAGGTAGAAGTTATCAAGAATAGGAATTCGGGGGCCTATTTTACGGGTCTGCACCTATTCCTGAAACAGAGTGTTTTCCATTCCTGCTCGAATCCATCATCAGAGACAAAAGCAGATAAGGGTGTTTCATGCATATGGGGCTGCAGTATTTATAGGATGCAGTAGCCATGCTACCGCATACCTATGAATATTCACGGCTCCCCATATGCATGAACCACCCTTATCTGCTTTTGTCTCTGATGATGGATTCGAGCAGGAATCCGAAACGTCAGGCTAATACAGCTCTTGTCCCGGCGATCGTGTCTTCTTCTTCTTCTTCTTCCTTTTCTTCAAGACTGCTTCCTGGGACTCGTCTCTTCACTTCTATTGAAAGTGTTTTCCAGCTGACAAAAATGCCACTATGAACTTTTTGTTAACTTCTATCGTATGGGAAAAACATGAAATTCCTCTGACACAACCATACTTTTTATCGAGAGTACGCTAAAGGAGATCACTCGAAAGAGCCAAACATGGCTTTGGAAGGTAAGAACCACCTGGCCCACTTCTGGTGCAAACTTCTACAATTCGCAGGAAATTGGTTTAGGTTGTAGATACAATAAATTCCGTTTAATCATATTACACTGGGTCAAAGTTTAGTTCAGTCAAACAGCCGGCTCGATTTTTAAAAAAGGTAAAAGATAGCTTTATCGGTGAGAAAAAAACACTCGGTCGTCGCCAACGCCACTACTTTCGTTTCCTCTTCTGTCAAGACTCTGTTGCCATATAAGCTACTCCTAGTTTATCGGATCCAGTGTCTGCGCCGAAAAGATGACCAGGAGTTCATTTTATTTTCGAAAATGCAACACTTTGCCAGACTTTTATATATATCCTATAAAAACAAGGAATTTCACACGCACAAAACGCGCTGCTTGATGAATAGCCGATTAAATTAAAATTTGAGGCGCAACAACCATCTTCTTCGACATTAAGCGAGAGGAGAACGCAATCAAGTTTAAACTGAAATGCAAATAAGCCAAGTTAAAAGCAAAATGTTTGAAATAAGGCGTAGGGGGCATTCTGACTACCATGTAAAATAATGATAGAATAGTACGCAATTTCTTTGAACGAGAGTTTTTCTGTTAACACAAACATTTCCTTCTGTCTTCACACAAGGCTATCTTCGAATCACTGCGACAACGGAACGTTTGTTTCTACTTATACAGCTGAACGACTTTTAAACTGATACCCGTATGATATAAAGCAAAGCGGTCTACCGTTGCCTGCATTTAAGTCTCTGGAGTCCTTATATCTCACATTACTTCTGCTAATGCAACATCTTTTGAGATGATGTGGTCTAAAATTGTAAAAGCTTATTTCTCTGCGGCTTGCGATTCTAAGGTCATGATGCGGTCATCAGCAACCAACTACTCGAGCAGGAGGTAAATCGGGTCGAGGCGGCTCCAAGCGTTAATCTGATAGTGTTGTCAGCTTCTTAAACCTGTTGTCTTGTCAACAAAAGAAAAGGCCGATCCAAATTAACCCAGATATACAGTGAGTGACCTATCTCATGAAATGTTGGCTGAAATTCTGAAATGCGTTTCCGATTAGGAAGGATTACTTGGTCGTGGTTGTAATACTAGTTATCTTAAGATATAATCTTATAACATTTCGGACTTGGCAGGGTGTCGGCTTTTAAATGCACTTCTTTTCAATCTCCTTTAGAAAGCGTGCTCGGTAAAAAATGACTACTTAAGTAGCATGCATTTTTCCCATTAATTTTTGATGGTCTTGGAAATTCAAATATATTATATAGAAACCATAAGCAAAAATATGCTTTCTTTTAGTCAATCAATAGGGAATCACGTCTTCTTTATATTTTATACTTAGGGAAGGAGTATAATTAGGTTTTAAAAAAGTTTCTAATTATGAGACTTTTTAAGACCGCGAAATGTCCATTCACATAGCATCGTACCTGGCCGTTTACCACTGCTCCTCATGAAATGTACAACATGGTCCGCATCCTTTGCAAAATTTTATGAACTCTGTATGATATCTCTTTAATGATATAGAAAATATGTGATTTTCTCTACGCGGAACGCATGCACCTTGTAGAGTGAAAGCACTAAGCGCTAATGCAACGAATGATCAGGCTCCGATTTATTCGGCAATTAGAAAACTTTTTTAAAACCTAATTATCCTTCTTCCTTAAGTATAAAATATAAAGAAGACGTGATTTTCTATTGATTGACTAAAAAAGCATATTTTTGCTTATGGTTTCTAGATAATATATTTGAATTTCCAAGACCATCAAAAATCAATGGGAAAATGCATGCTACTTAAGTAGTCATTTTTTTACCGAACACGCTTTCTACAGGAGATTGAAAAGAAGTGCATTTAAAAGCCGACATCCTGCCGAGTCCGAAATGTTATAAGATTATGCCTTTAGATAATCAGTATTACAACCGCGACCAAGTAATCCTTCCTAATCGGAAACGCATTTCAGAATTTCAGCCAACATTTCATGAGATAGGTCACTCACTGTACACCGGCATGCGCGCATCAGAGTGAATCGGATTGCATAGGTCATAATGCCGAAGTCTGATTTAGAGAAATTGACAGAAGCCCTTGGCTTCGCAAGTAGCCTGTCCGATGCCATGAAACCCCACACATCCACTGCATCGACGGATATCGTTGACAGCAGACGGATTAGTGGACCCAGCTTTTACACATGGAGAGATTTTGCGAGGCGTGTCCCTCACCCCCTTCCACTACTTCAACAATAACAACTTATAAAACTTCATTCATCTCACCACTTTTACAGTCTCCTAAACGATCTGGTTAAAACTATTAGAGCAGGTACTTACCCTCTACACTGGCTTAAAATAATGAATGCTTAAGAAAACATCCTAGGAATTATTCATGACAACGGTAGGGTGAAGGAACCCATTTAACTGTCGGTAGAATGTGGATCGTGTCATATGGAACTGGCGATAATGGGGTTTTTTGAGTGGGGCAAAAGGCCGGACAGTAAGCTGACGAGCTGCAAGAAAATACAGAAATTGTTTGGATTTCTGGCGCAAGTCTGGCCGCATGCTCACGTATGGCAACCGACAGGGAAGAAGGGTCCCTCACCCTATTATTGCCACATCCATCTTGTTAAACACTGGGGTGCTGTATTTGCGATTTTCAAGGACTTCAGTAACTTGCAAAACATTCTTGTTAACTCACCTTGAAACCAAACGCAGTGAGTTTGAGAACGAATTCCACTGTAAAAACGCCTGTGAAAATCATGTTGAGGTAGTCCAGGGCATCGGCG